AACTCAAGAGGTCCAAAAAAGTCAACTTAAAAAATTATTATTCTTTCCTGAAATAACCTAGCAAAGTGCTGAGCATAAAAACAGCAATGAAGGAAGAGTCACCAGCTCAGGAAAACAAACCAAAAGCAACACTATTTCAGATTTGAAAGAGTTGGTGAACATAGCAATCCTGGAATTCTCACCAGATTCCCAATAAATTAACAATACTGCCAGCACATTCAAGGCACTACCTTCCCTTTTCCACTACAGGGAAAGGCCCTTACCCAGGATGCGGCTGGCTTCACTGCGGCTACTTTCTGGAGTCTGGGAGCCCAGCTCCGACTTGGCATATGAGCTCAGCTGGCACAGGAGTGTTTCACCCACAGGCCCTGGGTTGGTCTTCTTCATCTGAGCATGAAGCGCCAGGGCATTCCTGCGGGCATGTTCCGCACAGAAGGACACCCTAAGGAGACAAAATACCAGTATTTCACCATAGTCCTTGATCCTCAAAGCATTTTTAAGCAATTCAAAGGACTATTTTATTCACTTCAAAAAGCCAATGAGTCAGAGGAATTTAACTGGCCCGAGATCAACTTAATTGTATTAAAGGAAAATGCAGATAACATAACCCAGCATTCCAACCAGCAAACAAAACATTCCAACTATAAAAATGTTGACATCATCTAGAAACAAATCAAAGAGATTCACTTTTCATCTTTCAATACTGGTTCCGGAAGGCACATTTTAATGCCAATCCACTGCAGGTTAATAAGATGTAACACACAGTTTTAAATTAGAGAATATATACAAATGAACAACCCCAGTTATATTTTTGCAGGGACGCCTCTGAAGTCATGAAGCCTCTTCCAGATTATACACACACACACACACAATTCGGCATATTATTTAACAAAGTTCACAGACACACCAAAGAGCCATACACCCCAAAGTAACAGTAATTTTCAGCATCCCTTCATTTTCAAGAAAAGGGGAAAGACTCCCTTCATTTTCAAGATAGATTGAAAGTAATTTCAATAGACTGAAAGATCCAAATTGAACTAAGTGATTCCAGTGTGTTTCCGGTTTTCACGATTTTAGTAATTTTCCAAGGATATATGCATAAGCCCGGTTTCACAAGGGCGTGACCGAAAACTCCACAGCTATGCAGAAGCCAACATCCCAGCACATTCCCTAAGAGGCACAAGTCTGCATACCCATCCTTCTTCTCTGGTTTCGGGGCAGCATTGGGACATCTTTTCCCATTCTTGGTCGAGATGTAACTGCACTGCTTGAAGGGCGCATTCTTGTCTTCAAGGATGTGCTTAATGCAAAATTCCTGCCCTTCCAGACGAGGCTGAGAGCACGGACGATGAGTGAACGAGCAAGACAGGGGCTCCTGAGACCTGGGCACCGGGGTGATCCTACCCCGACTGGTTGGCAAGACGTGAATCCGAATCCTATTCATACCAAAACCTGTAGGGTCACGCACAAGATCCAAGAGCCCTCAGCGCTCCTGAAAACTCCTGCCGCCGCCGCCCCCCTACATCCGGACGGACCACGTGCAGTCACTCCGCCTCGCCGGCCTCGCTCCCAGACTCCGGCCGCCCTCCCTCGGGCCTCCCGGGCACTTGCACACTTACCTCCCCGCCGAGTTCTCCCTCCAAGCCCGGCCCGCACCGCGCTGAACGCCTGTCCACGGCTCGCACGGCGGCAGCACGAGGCGAGCTCCGCAGGTTCGCGCCCGCCCCGCCTCCCCTGCGCACCGCCTTTGTCCAGGCCCGCCTCACAGCTCCCGCCCGGCCCCAGCGCCCATACAAGCGCCATTTTGTCCTAAGACCCTGGGCACCGGAGAACCAGGCTCCTGGGAGCCTACAAGAAAGGGGAAGGGTACAGACGCTGATACAGACGGGGCACCATGTCTGGGCCCACAGAAGGGGGTCTGCAGCAGCCCTCCGACGGGCACGAAGACCCAACAGCGCCGCCATCTTACCTCCACTGCCGCACTCTCCGGAGGAGCTCACCCTTCTCTGGCCGCGCCAGCCGCTCCTACCTCGGCCCGGCTCCTTTCCTGGCTCCCAACCGTTGATTGGCTACTGCTCCGCTGTAGCCGTGTCGCCATTGGCCGAGGCTCACTACCTATCAAGCCTGGAGGGGGCGGAGCGCTGAGAAAACGCGCGCTTCAGATGGCTGAGATGAACTGTCCGTCAGCAGCACCGCCCCAGGAGAGTTGCCCTGCGGCTGGCTGCAGCGTCCGCTGGCCGCGACTGTGGATTTTCTTTAAGACATGGGCCGGCCCCTGTGCTTGTGGTCTTAGGCTGCCGCTCCCTCAGCTTCCTTACACGGCGGGTGTAAAATCGGACAGAAGGACTCTTAGTATTTATATATGACAGAACTAGCTTTCTTTTATGAGTTCAGTACACGTACACGATGAACCTGAGGAAATTCAAGTATAAATTCATTTTCCAAAGCAGCCCTAAGGAGCAGAGGACCCAGGAGCACAATGGGCTATCTGAACCCAGCTATCCTGCGTTTTACTGCCTCTCACATGGTGGTGTGGAGCACTGGACCGAGAATAAGGAAACAGGAGTTTGGGGTTAAGCCTTGCTTCTCCTAAACTGTGCCCTGATAGCCTACACACCTTCCACAGGCACATGTTAAGTAATTCAGGTGTTATAGAAATGACACAACACCTGCTTCCCGCACACATGCTCGCTCTCTCCAGATCTTTCTTCCTCACCCAGTCTCCTGATCTCTCTCTCTCTCCACCGTATCAGACTTCCCCCATCAATAAACCCTTTCCCTTAACTCTGGTGTTTGGTGTGTTTTGTGGCGGCCCTACATCAACCTTTAAGGATTTTTATTAAAAACATCACATGTATCTCCATAACTCTTGTAGAAATGACCCAATACTGGAGGCCAATGCTGTGGCACAGCATCCCATTTGGCGCTGGTCCAGCTCCCTGCCAATGCACCCCGGGAAGGCAGGAGTAGATGGCCCAAGTGCATGGGTCCCTGCCACCCACATGGGAGACCCAGATGGAGCTCAGGTTCCTGGTTTAAGGCTGGCTCAGCCCTGGTCATTATGGCCATTTGGGGAGCAAACCAGCAGGTGGAAGCACACTCGCACTTTCTCTCCCCTCAACTCTTTAAAATACATCCTTTTTTTTAAAAAAAAAAAAAATCAGTTTCGAGACAAGGAATGATTAAAACCAAATTGAGGAGTTGTGGTGAAATTGGATGGTGCTGTTTCCAGAGAGCAAGGCAGTCCTAGAAGGTGGCCTTTTCCTGAAATTCACACAACAAAGATTGTATTGAGCACCTAAGTGCCAGGCACTAGGGATACAGGGAAAACAACAAAACTTTTTTTAATCCTGCACTCTTGAACATTCTAGAACAGCTTAGGATTCTGAATACAAGTATCAATAGCGGTAATGATCTATATACAGAACAAACACTCCACACCTCAGAACGGGTTCAAAGATGTTTGTTACATACCCCCTTATAACTCAACCCTAGCTGGAGGCAGAAAATTCAGGAACCAGAATCTGCAACAGGGGCGAGTGGTGGGCTTTAAGCTGCTGCTTGGGATGCCAGCATCCAGTATCAGAGTGCCTGGGATTAACCCCTGCTTCCACTTCTGATCAAAATTCCTACCAAATGTGCCTGAGGGACAGCAGATGATGGCTGAGGTCCCTGGGTTCCTGCCACCTGCAATTTGCCCTGGCCCAGCCCTGGCAGTTGTCAGCATTGGGGCAGTGAACCTGTGGATGCAAAATCTCTCTCTCTGTGTCACTTTGACTTTCAAATATGTATTTTTTTTTAAATCCGCAAATATCCGGCCAGTGCTGTGGCATAGCAGGTTAATAAGCCTCTGCCTACAGAGCCAGTGGCCCATATGGGATCCCTGCTAACTGTCTGGGAAAGCAGAAGAGGATGGCCCAAGTCCTTGGGCCCCGGCACCCACGTGGGTGACCTGGAAGAAGCTCCACGGCCCTGGCTTCAGATCAGCCCAGCACCAGCTGTGGCTGCCATTCGGGAAGTGAACCAGCTGGTGGAAGACCTCTCTGCCTCTGCCTCTGCCTCTCTCAACTCTTTCAAATAAATTAATAAAGACTTTTCAGTATCAACTTTTTTCCTTTTAAACCCTTTAGACTACAACTATTGGTAATTTTATATAGTTTGGAGTACTTTTCATTAGAATTCTTTCCCTTTAAGCTCATAATCTTTTTTTTTTTTCTTTTGACGGGCAGAGTGAACAGTGAGAGAGAAAGGTCTTCCTTTGCCATTGGTTCACCCTCCAATGGCAGCTGCGGCCAGCACACCGCGCTGATCCGATGGCAGGAGCCAGGTACTTCTCCTGGTCTCCCATGGGGTTCAGGGCCCAAGCACTTGGGCCATCCTCCACTGCACTCCCGGGCCACAGCAGAGAGCTGGCCTGGAAGAGGGGCAACCGGGACAGAATCCGGCGCCCCAACCGGGACTAGAACCCGGTGTGCCGGCGCCACAAGGCGGAGGATTAGCCTAGTGAGCCGCGGCGCCGGCCTAAGCTCATAATCTTTAAGACTTGTTTTTTTGTTTTCCTATTCTAGGAAAAGAATGGGTATTCACTATCAGTTCTTCCAGGAACCATCAAGAAATTCTTTCTTCTAAAATGTTATTTTCTTCTGAATACATTGCTATACCTAACATTCCACGTTTTTCAAAGAGCTAGATATACAATTATGAATTATGTTGATCATGCTGCTATGTAGGCAGTGCCTGTTGTCAACTCTTGGAGCTATTGTATTTTTGTTGTTTATAAGTCACTCTTTCAAAGTATTCTCGCAACAATATAGAACGAGGGCTCTCCCCCACAAAACAACTACTAGGGTCACTGTGATGACCAAATCTTAGGTCTTTCCAATATACTCAAATTCCCACAGGATCTTGCACACTGACAACCTAGCACTAACACAAGTGAGAGAAAACTGTTATCAATAAAATGGCAGTTAAAGGCTCAGGACATATAAACAACAATCAGATAAGTGTTTTATCAGTAATATTTATTGATGGGATGGATAAATACAGAGAGAAACATACTTGACAGCAAGATATCAAACTGATAGCCAGACTATAAAATGTATACAATATCCTTTTTAAAATTTTTTTAAATTTTTAATTTTTTTTTTTACAAAGAGCCCTTATTATTACAATGGTCACTTACGTCCTATCATTCACTTAACAGCAGTAGAGATCCCAGGGGTAGCATCCAGAATTGAGGTGCCCCAAGGAGGACAGAGGCAACAGCACATAATTTGCTGACAAAGGACTCTTAAGAGCTATACAAAGAAAACACAAAATCTCACCACAAAATTGTACCTGAGTGACGTAGATTGGTAAAGTGTTTTACTTTTTGTTTTTGTTTTTTTCCTTTTTGCTCTTTGGTCTGATAAGAAAATGGACAGGTTCAGGTATATGAAGTAGGACTGGGGAAAAGGTCAGTTTCAAGTTAGAAATCTCGGTTAACACTAAGTTAGGCTGTTGTATTCTTTTCTTTGGGTACTTCAGCCAACTAGCACTTTCACTTTGTAACCAATTCATTATGATCAACGACTAATCAGTTCTAGTTACTCAGCTTTCAACCGAAGAGTTCTTGATGGAGACATACTTGCTCTGGCTTCAATTCGCATGCTGTCAAGCATCCCTCTCCACGCTTCCACGTGGCAACACAAAACCCGAGTCTTTCTCTTCTTTCCATTCAATCATGAATACACACTCATAAAGGAGAAGAGTAGACACTGCTTTTTTAATGAACATTCTTTTTCTTTCCCTCCCTTTTCCAATGCCAAGTTCATAGTTAAAAATTTAGACATTAAAATGGAGCGCTCCCACTTAAAAAATAATTCTTTGCAGATTACTCTGTAAGGAAGGATTACAGTACTGTGATGATTTCAAACTCAACGTTCACAGATAAAAAGGTAAAATAAAACTTGACTGTGAGGCAACATGAACATTTCCTAAACCATCAGAAACAAACACTCAGTTAAAAGCCGGGTGTTAGCAAGCAACACAGGAAATCTGGAGAGACATTAAAGTCACTGAAAGATTAGTGGGACTGCAGAAGGCTATTTGTCACCATCTGATGGCTTGCGCAGACTAAGCTCTCCCAAACCCAAGAGAATACTCGTATTCAAACTTCTATATGTCCTAGATACTCCCTTTTCCTAGTATTAGTATCAAAGTAACTCATCAATAGAAAATTTAAAAAAAGATTAATCAGTTCCCAAAGTAAAGGAAACACAGATATATTTGAAGTTCAACTATACTGGGATAGATATGGCCTCCCTAAATGCCTTTGTCCACAAGTAAGGTTTGAGAAGGATCCATTTTCAATATGAGGAATTAGGTAGCAGAGGCTTAAAGAAACCCAGCAGCGATATTACCATGATTTTATTTCTACAATTTAGCCCATTGCTGTTTGCAACTGGAGATTGAAATTTTTTTTCTATCAACACTGGTGAAGCCAATTATACAGAACTATATAGGATACACTAAATAAAACACTTAAGATGATTTTTTATGTGAAAAGGAAGGATCTGAAATATGGAAACACATTGATTCATGAGTGGAAACACTAGACTACCACCTAAGAATTTTCTAAACCCAAGAAGCATAACTGATAACGTCAGAAGATGAAATTGGCTTTCGATTCATGCTTCACTAGAGTTCAGCTAACAGCAACACAGATATCTGATTAAAAGCCCTAAGGACAATCCACAGGTATTTGTTTTTTCCAACATGAGAGTCAAACGAAGTATTAGGAATGAGATTTACAGAACTTGAGGCTCTAGGCCTGTTTATCATCACTTTCTTAACAGGCTCAAAGAAGAAACAAAAAGCCATGTTTAGTAGACTAACTTTGGCTAAATAAATCCCATTCTCACCATATGAAGGTGGGAAGGTAGGGAAGACACAGAGCTTAGAAACCACACAACCCTTAGAAACCTTATTAAGTTTATGGAATGTGGATGATATGCACGCTAATTGACATGCACATATGCTAACCCAAAGATAATGCAGCAGCTTCATGGAGAGTCCACAAGGAGTTTCAAAACATGTAAATCTACAGACAGACATTGTTGGTTATGTCAAGATAGTACCAGTAGGCATTAAAACACAAATGTCACAAAACAGACCTATTTCAGCAATGATCTATTTAGTGCAAAGGCCAAACAAAGCATTAGACCTGAATAAGCACTTTTTTTCTAGTTCATTTCTGACAAAGGTCTAAGAAAATTAACTACAGTCCTGTCAAGGAGTACTACTGTGAGACCAAGGAGTATGCTGATGGATATGTGCCTCTGTGGGGAGGGAGTGCACGTGATTAGGAAATATGTGACATTTGATGAGAATAATTAAAACACAACCAAATCAGCAACTATCAATTCCACAAAGATACACATGTAAACTAAACGTCGCATTCCCTTTCAGGAGATCGGGAAGGAAAGCGCATTCCACCTAAAGAAAGCTAAAGGAAAGCCTAAAATTTCGCAAACACAACCACACAGTTACCAGTTTACCTGGCACAACACAGAGAACATCAAGAAAGAGGAAATTATCATCTATTAAAGTGAAATGACACTCCAAGTATTACTGTTTACAGTCAGCAGAGAGCTCCTTATCTTACACAGCAATAGCAGGCAAGTACAGAGATGCAGGACGCTAATCCACCTTCCTACAAACTGCTTCCCACATTAGGCCAGCGTATCATCGATCCCTCTTGCCTCCGTTTCTTCCCCCAGCCTGATCCTAGAGCAGCAGTGCATGCATAACTTCCATCTGCCCCATAACTTCCAATGAAAATAATTTAGTTTCTCCCTACAAACTATTTGGCACACAGGAAGCTGCATTAAAAATGATAAATTCAAACAGTACCACCTTTTTCACCACAAGAAGAAATCTCACGAAGACCAAAGAATATGCCATCAAATTATCTGTAGGTAGGTGGCGCTTTCAGTTAGACAGCTTGGTCTCGAATTCTTTCTAGCCAAGATTTCCTTCATGATCAAAACTGTTCACTCCTAGTATCTGGTGTTAACGGAGTTCTCGTAACAGCACTCCTGGCCTGTTTAAGAAAAACTGTTAGAAATATCCTTACAAGCCTGTCTAGAATCTACAGCCACCACAAACTATACCTAACAGCGACCTGTTAGCAAAGTTCACTCATTCTCATGGCACCAGTACTCTTAAATAATTCACAAGCTCCAACCTCTGAAGTCATATTGGCTACAAAACATTAGGATGAAGCTGTTTCCCTTCAGATACACAAATAAAAAGCAAGTCTTACATTCATAATGCATTTTAAGATGTAACACTCTAAAAATTCTGAATCACAATTTCATTGCTTTTAATATCCTCTGGCTCTACAGCTTCTCCCAGAACTACTCTCATATATGGTCTGGGCTTTCACTTGAGGGATATATATCGCACATCTCCTTCCTTCCGGAGACCCTGCAACTGTTCTTACCTGAACCTTTCCCAAAGCCCTATCTGAAAAAAAGACACACCCAATTCTATAGGGCAGAAGCTGGCCCTGCTTGCCCAACCTTCCTCAACCCTATTTTTTGTTCTGCATCAAAATGAAAAATGGGGTGAAAACAAAGTTTTCAGTATGTAGCTAACAGTCAAGCCACCGGCTGCACTTACGGAAAATAGAAATAAGAGGAATACTGCTCAATTGCAACATAAAGGAAGAAACAGCCTGTCAGATAAAGGCATCATCTTTCCTTTAGGATCCCAAGGCCAGCCCTGTTCTCTCTAGTAGTAGACTGTTGGTAAGTGAAAAGTGGTAAGGGAAAGGGAGGGAAAGATCAAACATGATTTTCAGACACACACACTTAAAACACACACATACTCACACTTGCAGACGTACTTAAAGGTTTCAACACTTCAAATGGCCTGAGCCTATTTCAGAACTCTTAGCCAAAAGCCTACCCTCCCACCCACCCTGAACACATTCCCACCCTCCAATCCCACCCCGCAAGAGTTACTGCTATGTATCTCTTACACACAGCAAAATCTCAATCCCCTCCCCAATTATATAAAAAAACTAAAGATAACTTACTTTCTTTAAATTATTTAAAAGTCTTTTAAAAGATTTTGATGTTTAAATACTCCCTCTCTTCTGATATATTAAACACCAAAAGGATCCACAATTGCTTGATAAAACAAACTTTCCATATTTCAGTTCTGGCAAGAAGAGGGAAGATATCAACTCCAATCAACCTAATCAGGAAGTGGAGAGGCCAAGAATGGAGAAAGTGTTCTTAATCCTTCACAGCTTGAACACATTCCCACCCCTCTTATACCAGTAAAAACTAGAATGAAATAGTGAAAACGTAGGAGGCAGCACATATAATAACCAAGGCCACCCACCACCTTCCCACCTACTTCTCAATATCAATTTATTCCCTAGTCAAAGAAGGCTGACATATTTCATAAGGGAAGTAATTTTCTTAGTCCAGAATCAGTAGTAGAGAAAAAAAAAAAAAAAAAAAGCATGTTTTTGAAACAAGTTTTTTTCCTCCTTTTTCCTTCTTTACTTAGGAAGCGGTGGAAGTGGTGGAGGAGGTTCCGATGGCAGAGGTGGTGGCCGGGGTTTGTCTGTATTGCCAGCTCTGGAGGATATTCCACTAGCTCGTGGATTCAGATATTCACCATAAGAATGCACAAATTCAAATGGGGGTTGCGCAGGCTGAACACCCTGGGCACTAAGCAGGGAGTTAAGCATATTCACAGTATCTTGATAGTCTATTGTCTGAGCTGTATTGTGTCCATTGGCCCCAGTAGGGCCTTTATCCAGTTTCATATGAGGAACTCGAGTTTTACAGCTGGGCTGTGAGAAGGGAAGGCCACTTGTGTCTGAGCTATGCCCAGGCAGTTGGGCCATCGCAGGAAGAGGAGGGAAGGAGAAATTTATGGAAGATGATTTAGTACTCTTGGCAACCTTGGCTGGATGATCAAACACTGCCCCCGTCTCTTCAGAAGGGCCTCTTTTACGACTAGAACTAGAAGAGGAAAAAGAACTAGACAAGCTATAGGTTTTATGTGGTAAGGTGCTTGACTGGCTACTGTGTTTTGGGTCACCTGGACGTTTGTTCCCAGTACCAGCTGGAAGCTGTGAGTGAGAGTGCTTATGAGAGTGGTGATTGTGATGATGGTGATGATTAGATGGGTGAGTCTTGTGCTTTTCTTTGTGCTCTCGGCTTTTTGTAATGCTGTCCTCTACAGAATTGTGCTTATCAGTGGCAGCATGGACTTTAATGCGCATTTTAATCTCCTCTGGTTTCGAAGAGGCAGCTTTATCTCCACTTGCCACTGGTAGTCTCATTTTGAGAGCTGTTTTGTCAGCCTTTTCCAGAAAAGACCGCTCAGGGTTCTCTAAGCCTTCCACAGGCATCTTCAGAATGACTGAAGAATGGCTATCATGGTGAGACAACAGATTCTGGGCAGCAAACGCATACTGTGACTTCACGTTGGCCTCCATGTTCTCCAGTTGCCTCTTCTGAGCTGCCAACTCTTCTGCATGCTTGGCACGGTATTCCTTCAGCGACACTTTAGCTGATGGCACATTCTTACTACTTTGTTTCTGGGAAATGAATGTATTTGAACTGTCCTGTTGCAAGGAATGATCAACTCCTATAAGTGCTACATTGTCACTAGTCCGATGACCCTGAGCAGGTTCTAGTTTAAAAGGAGGTTGGGAGGACAGCCAACGCTCGCCCTGCAACATCTCCACGCTGGTTAAGTTGCTAGATGACTCTTCAGATACCGGAAGGGAAGGCACTACACTTGTGGTAGAAGACGCTGACATACTCATTAAACCTGCAATAGTTGTATCTGAAGAGCTTTGGGAAATCATGTTTAGAATTGTCTGCTCTGAAGTGTTTTCATCTGCTCCTCGGTCATCTGCTTTTGTTTTATTGGCAGCTTGGCATGCCTACAATGAAGCAAACAACATCTTTTCAATCCAGATAATTTAGTAAACAGAAAAACACCGAAATGAGTAGATTTTACTTGCAACACCACCAAAGTTCTGGAATTACCCATATGAGAGCCAATGAATCACTGCCATCAGAAGATTTTAAAACCTTCAGTCAAGAGCCACAGCAAGGGACCAGCACTGCCTGCGGTGCCAGCATCCCATATGAGTGCCAATTCATGTCCTGCTGCTCCTCTTCCTATCCAGATCTCTACCATGGCCTGGGAAAGCAGAAGATGGCCCAAGTGCTTGGGTCTTTGGACCCACATGGGAGACCCAGAAGCAGCTCCTGGCTCTTGGCTTTGGATCAGCCCACTCCGGCTGTTGCAGCCATTTGGGAAGGGAACCAGTAGATGGAAGACATTTCTCTCTCCCTCTCCCTCTCTCTAAATCTACTCTCCAACTAATAAATAAAACTTAAAAAAAAGTCACAGCAATCTATAACAATGTTACAGAACAACAAAAATCAATCAACAATCTGTGGGGCAGGCATTTGGCACCTTGGGAAGCAGCAGATTATGGCCCAAATACTTCAGCCCCTGCCACTCATTTGTTTGAGACTTGGACAGAGCTCCACTCTCCTGGATTCAGCCCAGACCAGCCCTGACTGCTGTTGTCATTTGGGGAGTGACAGAAGATGTGTGTGTGTGTGTGTATGTGTGTTGTGTCGCTGTACCATTCAAATAAATAAATCCAGAGTACCTGGGTTCAAGTCTCAGCTATGCTTCCAATTCTGGCTTATTGCTAGTGTGCACCTTGGGAAATATCAACTAATGGCTCAAGTACATGAATTCCTATCACCAGTGGAGGGCACCTGACTTGCAATCCAGGGTCCTGGCTTCAACCTGATCCAGCCCTGGGTGTTGAGGCATTTGGGATGTGAATCAGCAGATAGCAGACCTCTTAGTCTCTTTCAAAAAAATCTAACCAATAAAAATTTAAAATACTTTAAAAAGGGGGAAAAAAGCTGGTATTATCTAGAAATCACTCATGAATGTCTATGACTTTTTTTTTTTTTTTTAAGATTTATTTATTTGAAAAAGAGAGAGGAGAGATCTGGGGCTGGTGCTATGGCGCAGCGGGTTCAAGTCCCAGCCTACAGCACTGGCATCCCATGTGGGCACCAGTTCGAGTCCCAGCTGCTCCTCTTCCAGTCCAGCTCTCTGCTATGGCCTGGGAAAGCAGTGGAAGATGGCCTAAGTTCTTGGGTCCTTGCATCCACATGAGAGACCTGGAGGAAGCTCCTGTCTCCTGGCTTTGTATCAGCTCAGCTCTGGCCATTGCAGTTATTTGGGAAGTGAACCAGCAGACTGGAAGACCTCTCTCTCTCTCTCATATAAATAAAATAAATCTTAAAAAGACAGAGAGAGAGAGAGATTTTCCATCTGCTGATTCACTCCCTAAATGGCCATAACGACTGGGGCTGGCCCAGGCAGAAGCCAGGAGCTTCTTCCAGGTCTCCCAACATGGGTGCAGGGACCCAAGGACCTGAGACATCTTCCACTGCTTTCTCAGGCCATTGACAGGGAGCGAGATCAGAAGCAGATTTGAAGCACAGCCAGGACTTGAACCAGTGCCCATATCCAATGCCAGCACTGCAGGTGGCAACTTAACCAGCTAAGCCATAGCACTGGCCCTCTATGGCTCTCCCCCACCCCCAATTTAATGTTTCCTTGGTCTAAATAGCACAACAGGCAGAGCTGAGCCAATCCGAAGCCAGGAGCCAAGAGCTTCTTCTGGGTCTCCCACATGGGTGCAGGAGCCCAAGAACTTGGGCCATCTTCCACTGCTTTCCCAGGCACATTAGCAAGGAGTTGGATCAGAAGTGGAGCAGCAGGGACTTGAACTGGCACCTACATGGGTTGCCAGCACTGCAGGCCAGGGTTTTAACTCACTGCACCACAATACCGCTGTACTTGGTCCACCAACAAATTCAAGCCTGCTTCTAAGAAAACTCATTTTCTGTAACTCACTGAACTGAGAAGAATGAAATTAACTTACTGCCCTGAATATATGAGATATGAGGGAAATATTTTTCATTGTTTATTATTCTTTTATTTGAGAAGCAGAAAGAGGAAAAGAGACAGTAAGAGAGTTTCCACCCACTGGTTCACTTCCCAAATACCCTCAATGGCTGGGATGGGGTGGGGTGGGGCCAGGCCAAGTTGGGAGGCAGGAAAACCATCTAAACAGGAGCAAAAAGCTGGAGTCAGAAGCTGAGTATCAAATGATGTGTGACAAGACATTTTAACTATAAGGCTGGGTGCCTACTTCCTAAAATTTTCTTTTTACATAAATTGCAATTTAAAATTGTACCTCAGGAGCTGGCATTATTGTGGTGTAACAGATTAAACTCCACCTGCAGTGCCAGCATCCCATATGGACACTAGTCCCAGCTGATCCATTTCCAATCCAGCTCCCTGATAATGCACTGAGAAAGCAGCAGACAATGGCCCAAGTCCTTGGGCCCCTGCACCCGCGTCAAAGAACAGGAAGAAGCTCCTGGCTCCTGGCTTTGGTCTGGCCAACCCCATCCAGTGCAGCCATTTGGAGAGTGAACCAGCAGACAGAAGATCTCTCTATATATCTCTCTCATTCTCTCTATAACTCTACCTTTCAAATAAATAGATCTTTTTAAAAAGTTAAAAGTTAAAATTGAACCTCAAAGTCTTATTTATGAATAATGAGATCATTCTTTTTTATTTTTTCCACTGTCAGATAGATTTTCAAGATACCCTAGGTCCATATCAGAATACTTGAGGTTGAATACCTGGCTCTAGCTCCTGACTGCAACTTCCAGCCATTGCAGATCCCAGAGGGCAGCAGCAATGGCTCAAGTTACTGGGTTCCTGCCGCTCACATGGGAGATCTAGTTCCCAGCTTCTGGCTTTGGCCTCAGGCCACCCTCAAACAAAATTGTTACAAGCATTTGGGGAGTGAACAGATGGGAGTTTACTCTCTATCTTTGTCTCTGTCTTTTTGCCTCTCAAAAGTAAAAAAAAAAAATTAAAAAATTCTAAAAATCATTTTAAAAGTAGGTAATGGCAGGAGCCGGTGCTGTGGCACAGCAGGTAAAGCTGCTGTCTGCAGTGTCGACATCCCATATGGGCACCAGTACAAGTCCCAGCTGCTCCACTTCCGATCCAGCTCTCTGCTATGGCCTGGGAAAGCAGCAGAAGACGGCTCAAGTAGTTGGGCCCCTGCATCTGTACAGGAGACCCAGAAGAACCTCCTGCCTCCTGGCTTTGATCAACATAGCTCCAGCTGTTGTGGCCATTTGGGGAGTAAACCAAGAGTTGGAAGAACTCTCTCTCACTCTGCCTGTCATTCAAATAAACATTTTTTTTTTTTTAAATAGGTAATGTCAGGGCCAGCACTGTGGCATAGTGGGTAAAGCTGCTACCTGCAATGCCAGCATCTCACATGGGGGCTGGTTAGAGTCCCCACCACTCCATTTCAGATCCAACCCCCCTGTTAATACACCTTGGAAACCAGTGGGAGATGGGCCCAAGTTCTTCAGCCCTGAACCCACTCTGAGACCCAGAAGAATCTCCTGGCTCCTGGCTTTAGATTGACTCAGCTCTGGCTATTGTGGCCTCTTGGAGAGCGAACCAGCAGATGGAAGACCTCTGTCACTTCCTCCCTCTCTAAATTCTGCCTTTCAAATAAATAAATCTTTAAACAAATTAAAAAAAAAAAGGTAATGTCAAAGTCCAGTGTTAACATAATTCTATAACTTGATTCTACCAGAAGCCAATAAATGCTCTTCAAGGAAGCCATGGTGCTTTTTACAAGTGTTTCCACACAGAAAATATGCCATGAACATTGCTGAAGAAATGACCATATAACAGGAGTTCCATAATGCAAAGCAGATCCCACTATTGCCCACAGCCACCAACCTCGGGGCCAGTGTCCAGGCTGAGGAGTTCAAGTCATGATTACTGCGCAACCATTAAAGGGGAGATTCCAAACATAAAGTACACATCCAATTCTGCTGTATTTTCACTGGTGCAGTCAAAAGAAACTGGTTTTGTCCCACAAGCTGACTAGAATAATTTCTTACCCTCCAATTCCGAATACGTTTGAGCCTGCTGGGAGTTTTCTCCAGAATCTGTAGAAATTCGTGTGTCAGTTCTATGAATACAGAACAGAACATTCAAGAAAGACTCAGAGACACAGATAATAAAACAAGAATAACCTCAACTACCTCACTCTTTTCATGTAAATCAAGCCATCTTTGGCCAGATATGCGAAGGCAAAAAGTACATGTTTTTCAAGGTCCCTTACTCTTCTAAAACTTACCATCTAAAAGTTCCAGGGTCACAGTGGCGTCAACATACTCCCACCAGTGCTTCCCATCAGTTGAGACTGGGATCTCCCAGTTGGACCACTTGCAAGCCAGGTGAATGCAGACACAGGCCACCACAGGAGGTGTGTACTGCAGGCTAAATGTGGTCAAATGCAGGCTGACATTGGAGGGAAGGAAAAAGAGAGTGTCATGAGCTCTCATTTTTCAACCCAAAGCTAAAACTCTCCACTATTTAAAAAAAAAAAAAAAAAAAAACTAAAGAAACCCACAGAAGGGCAAGAATTATCCAATTATCAGTGCACTGAACTAGCATTCAATGTAATGATTTTTAATTAACCCTCTCCTCAGGTAACATTCCTAAATGTTTTGACTACACATTACTCAATCCATACATTGAGCAGGTACCCCCAAAAGGCTAGATTTTTAGAAACACTGATTTCTAAGGGTGGGCATTTGGTGCAGCAGTTAACTTACTGTTTGGAACACACAGATTCCATATTCGAGTGCCTGATTTTGAGTCCTGGCTACATCACTTCCAGATCAGCTTCCTACTAATGCACACCCTGTGAGGCAGTATGTGGTAACTCAAGTACTTGTGTCCCTGCCACCGATGTGGAAGACCCAGATTGACCTCTGGGCTACTGGCTTCAGCCTGGCCCTGCCCTGATTATTGTAAGCATTTGAAGAGTAAACCATATCTTTTGAATAAAATGAAAAATAAACAAAAATCTAAAACAAAAACATGGATTTCTGGTTTCTAAGCCCAGAAGTCAATGTTTAGCATGTATTTTCCTAAGGAAAAGCTTCTAACAAGGTAAACTATAAGCTTTTTGGTTTGCATAATCCATAAATCAAATACAAAAGGAAATGCCATAAAAGTTATCCTTCTCATCAATCACAGTTCTGTTCTATTTAAAATAATGAGCATTATGGGGTCGGCAATGTGCGTAGCAGATAAAGCCACCACCTGTGACACCGGTATCCCATATGGGCACTGGTTCAAGTCCTGGATGTTCCACTTCCAATCCAGCTCCCTATTAATATACCTGGGAAAGCAGTGAAAGATGGCACAATCCTTGTGACCCTGCACCCATGTGGGAGAACCTCCTGGATTCAGTCTGTCCAGCCCTGGCCATTGTGACCATCTGGGAAATAAGCCAGCAACGGAAGATATCTCTCTCTCTTTCTCTCTGTTAACTCTGCTTTCAAATAAATAAATCTTTAAAAATAAATAAATAAATAAATAATGACCACTCACTCACTCAAGTGTGGATTCATGGTATATTTCAAAAGTTTCAGGTTATCAAACTGAGCTTGTTAGCCCTGACAGTTACTGTGAATATCTTTAGTTACCATAAAAAACACAGGAAATCAGAGATGAGAATAAGCAAGGCGCTTGGTAATACAAGTTATATACCAATAATTTATTTGGGTTCTATAAATCCCTCAAAAGGTGACCATTCCAACCCAAGTAAAAACCAATTCCAAAAATAGAAGAGAAAAAATTAAAATTTAAACCTGTTAGTTGCCATGAAGTAAGACGTCTGTGCTAAGTCCTTGCTTGCTGAAAAAAAATAAATAAGGGGATTGAGGAAAGAGAAAATATTAGTTTCATTCATTCTCAACAAATATTTGCAAGGTACTATGAATACAGGGGTAAATGAGGCAGATGAAGATCCCTAACCACCTGATGTTTACACTCCACCAAAGGACACAGATTAATTTTTGATTTTTTTATTTTAATATTAATTATGCTACTTCCAGACCTAGGGACTCAAGCTTTACTCCATACCCAACGTCTCAAGGGTACTTATTTAAAATTCAATTCCTGAGTCTGCTCCCTAGAATTAGGTTCAACTAAGTGTGGAGAAGAATGTGAGCAATTTGAACTAACAGCCCAGAGATTCAGATGCAAGAGTTCACTGTGAAGCACCAAGGTAAAGGATGAACTAAGATGATCTGAAGGCAAGATAGAATCCAGAAGATCCTTATATTTGGGAAAAGTGACTTTTTCTGACAAAATAAAAGTCTTAAACTGAGTAGCCTGTTAGTTAATCCCCAAATCATAAATATTAATTGCTCTGGATGATAAAGCAAATTTTTATCTTCCTTAGAAAATAAGTCTTTTCAGTATTAATATATACCCATCTTTGGACCGGCGCCGTGGCTCACTTGGCTAATCCTCTGCCTGCAGTGCCAGCACCCCGGGTTCTAGTCCCAATTGCTCCTCTTCCAATCCAGCTCTCTGCTGTGGCCCGGGAGGGCAGTGGAGGATGGCCCAAGTGCTTGGGTCCTGCACCCGCATGGGAGACCAAGAGGAAGTACCCAACTTCTGGCTTTGTAGCGACGGCCATAGCGGCCATTAGGGGAGTGAACCAACAAAAAGAATTGTCTCTCTCTCTCTCTCACTGTCTTAACTCTGCCTGGCAAAAAAAATAAATAATAATATATATAAATACACACACACACACACACACACCCATCTTTGTTTAACCCTACCCAGCTGAATGTAAACATCTTAATACTTTCAAATTAAGAATTTGGGAGCACAGTGGTATCCAGATTTTTTTTTTTTTTTTATTTAATAAAAGTAAATTTAGGAGCTGGTGCTGTGGCATAGCAGGTAAAGTTGCTACCTGCGGTGCTGGCATCCCATATGGGCACCAGTTCGAGTCCCAGCTGCTCCACTTCCAATCCAGCTCTCTGCTATGGCCTAGGAAAGCAGTGGAAGATGGCCCAAGTCCTTGGGCCCCTGCACCCACGTGGGAGACCCAGAAGAAGCTCCAGGCTCCTGGCTTTAGATCAGTTTAACTCTGGCCATTGTGTCCATCTGGGGAGTGAACCAGAGGATGGAAGACCTCTCTCTCTCTCTCCCTCCCTCCCTCTCTGTACCTCTGCCTCTTTGTAACTCTACCTTTCAAATAAAATAAATAAATCTCTAAATCTCTTTAAAAAAAAAAAAAAAAAAGACTGCAGGCTTAAAAAAAAAGAAAATTTATTAAAAGTGCAGAAAACACTCTTGTTGGGCAGCTTAAGGAACAATAACAATGTGTCAAAGTGGCCAAATATATCTGCTGGCTCCATCACAAATGGCCTGACATACCAGGTGAACATGTTCTAATACCAAATACTGAAGTCATTAGGGTTTCAGAATCTCGAATGGTGACGGCCACCAGTCTTTGGGCGGAACATCCTCTGGAGACAGCCTCTTGTGCTGAACAGAAACCAATGCCACCTGAGTTGCACTCTGCACTCAGTACTCAAGCCTCATAAAGGTCGGGGCGCCATGCAAAAATATGGAATGCTTCACGACTTTGCCTGTCATCCTTCTGCAGAGGCAATGCTAATCTCCTCTGTATCATTCCAATTTTATTATACGTGCTGCCAAAGCAAGCACCAGATATTCTTTATTTATTATTATTATTATTTTTTTGACAGAGTTAGACAGTGAGAGAGAGAAAAGAGAGACAGAGAGAAAGCTCTTCCTTCTGTTGGTTCAGCCCCAAATGGCCACTACAGCCGGCGTGCTGCACCAATCTGAAACCAGGAGCCAGGTGCTTCCTCCTAGTCTCCCATGCGGGTACAGGGCCCAAGCACTTGGGCCATCCTCCACTGCCTTCCCGGGCCACAGCAGAGAGCTGGACTGGAAGAGGAGCAACCGGGACAGAATCCGGTGCCCCAACCAGGACTAGAACCCGGGGTGCTGGCGCCGCAGGCGGAGGATTAGCCTAGTAAGCTGCGGTGCCGGCACACCAGATATTCTTGATACAACTATTTAAACTAAAGAAAAGAACTGGGTTTCATTCAGTTTTAACTGTTATTATTAAGTCAGAATGAGAAAAGTCCTTCCAAGGAAATGTCAATCACGGAAATAAATTACCATAAACTCCCTACAATCTTCTAGATAGGCTTTGATCAATCCTGGATTTAAAATATGTTCACCCACTCCCAAGACTTCCTTAAAACTGCCATGACAGCACTTAAGACAACACTTTGGATTGCCTGCATCACACATTAAACTGCCTGGGATCAAGTTCTGGCTCCACTTCCAATTGTAGCTTCCTACTAATGTGTACCCTGGAAGGTAGCAAATGATGGTTCAAGTACTGAGTTCCTATCCACCCATAAGGGAGATCAAGATTTTGAGTTCTGGACTCCAACTATGGCCTGCCCTAGCCCAGGTTGTTGCATGCATTTGGGGAATGAACCACTGGATGGAAGATTTTTCTCAGTCTTGGTCTCTTTTTCTGCCTTTCAAATAAAATGAAACTAAAAAGTAAATAAAATTGCTGCTATATACTTGTGATTTGGTGACTTCTCAAAATATGCCCCCAGTTTAACTCTCCTTACCTGGAAAACATCTAAAAACATTAACTATGAGAACCCAATAGAAAAACTTCAATTCAGAACTACAGATTTTAAGCCAAACAGGCCTTCTAACTTTTGACCAAATAGCTGTGTTGCGGGATTTCCCATAACAAATCAAAGCCTCTAAACTGTAAAACAATTTCTTAAAGATTTATTTATTTGCAAGGCAGAGAGAGAGAGAGAGAGGCAGAGAGAGAGAAAGCAAGTGAGCGAGCAATCTTCCATCCACTGGTTCACTCCCCCAAATCTCTGCAACAGCCACAATTGGGCCAGTCTGAAGACAGGGGCAAGAACTCCATCCAGGTCTCCCACATGAGTGGCAGGAACCCAAGCACTGGGACCATCATCTTCTGCCTCACAGGCACATTAGCCAGAAGCTGGATAAAAGCAGAGGGAGGACTTGATTCCACACACCCTGACCCAGGATGTGGGAACCCACTGCGCCACAATGCCCAACACTGCACAGCAATCTAGACAGTCATCTCCGGCTGGGATTCCTTACCTCGAACAAGCTGAGTGCACTTGACCACATGTGTATGTGGGTGATCTATCGTTAGTTCAAAGCCTTCAAGAGAAAAAGAAACTGGTCAAAAAATGCTAAAGATACCGAGAGGATTTAAACTTCTGTTTATACTTTAGTGCTCATTCATTTCCCTCTCCCTCAACCACTGAGAGGCTAAGAGGCACTGTCTTCTCTCAGACCTATTGATTATCTCCAAAGTTGCTGATGCTTAGAACAGAGCCTGCAAGTACACAGGACCAATGAGTAAACGAAAACCTCCTTTTCTAGGGACAACAGAACACAATACAAAACTGGAATAAGTTGCTCAATAATGACCACCTCCCAAACCTTAATCTTGAAAAAGTTTTCAAGCCTTTCTTCTCTTAGCTGTTTTGTTCATCATCATCTCACATAGGTACCACTTACCATATCCAACCCCAAATGGTCTTTACCATAACTTGGCAAAATCAGTGTGCTATAAAAGTTATTTTTAAGTTTCTCTTTGAATATATAACTAAAATTTCCAAGAAAACATATTCTATTGTAAAATTTACATGATGTTAATTATTCTAATTCTGTGAATTAGATCTTACTGGTTCACACATTAAAACGTTAATAAAAATTTATTCCACCAGAGTATCATTGTCTTCCGAAGTATGATTACCTTGAAGAGGAATGAAGTTAACTAGCAAGAATTAACCTCAAAGATAAAAGAACATCATCAGAGTTGCTCATCCAATCCCTACTGCCTGAATTCCTACACTTCTACTCTACAGTTTTAAAAAACTGGCCCACATTGTGGCATAGTGGTGAGTCCTCACTACTCTGCTTCAATCTAGCTCCCTCTAATGGCCTGGGAAAAGCAGCAGGAGAGGGTCCAAGTGTTTGGGCCTCTGCCAGCTATATTGGAGACTCAGATGAAGTTACTGGCTTTGACTTCAGCCTGGCCCGGTCTTGGCTGTTGTGACCTTCTGGAGAAGGAACCAGCGGATGGAAGATATCCTTGCTCCCCACCGCCACCACTGCCCTGTCTCTCCCCCTTTCTCTGTAATTCTTTGAAATAAATAAATCTTTAAAAACTGGCTACCAATTTTAATAATAAATACTGTTCTCCAAACACAATGACAAGCAGACCATAACAATCCACAGAACTAAAAAGGTTCTGGAGACAGTTCTTGACAGTATTTATTTGGTTAAAGATTGGCAAACCTGGGGCTGGCATCATGGAGTAGTAGCTTAAGCCTCAACCTGCAGCACCAGCATTCTATATGGGTGCCACATATGGGTGCTGGTTCACATCCTGGCTGCTCCTTTTCCAATTTAGCTCTCTGCTAGTGGCCTTGGAAAGCAGTGGAGGATGGCCTAAGTCCTTCTGCCCCTGCACCCACAGGGGAGACCTGGAAGAAACTCAAGGCTCCTGGCTTCAGATAAGCCTAGCTCCAGCCATGGAGGCCATTTGGAGAGTGAAGCAGTAGATGGAAGTCCTCTCTACTCTGTCTCTCCCTCTCTCTCTCTGTAACTCTGCCTCTCACATAAATAAATAAATCTATTTTTAAAAAGTTTACCAATCTTAAAAAGCATACCATGAACCCTAGAATACGGAGAAAAAAAACCCACTAATTTATGCTTTTTCAAAGATCAACTGTGCCTATATTCTCTCTATGATACACACCAGGGTTAAAACTCTAAGCTCTACAACCTCTAAAACCCAGACACAGATGGATATTTTGCAAAAACCTTTCCAAAGGATTTTCTTCCTGTTTCCATCCGACAAACCTAAAAATCAGATGATTTAATTATGTGCATAGTTTTTGAGGTGTGTTGAAGGAAAATATACATACCTAAAGTTTGCAAAATTATGCTTTCTAAAATCACCAGATCTTGAACTTGTTGTAAGTAAGCCTAAAGATGAGAAGACAGAGAAATTATTTCCTGAAAAGCATAATATACAAAATCTAAACAATTCTAACAAGCTCTCCCAGAAAAAAATAAATAAATAAAAAGCAGGGATAAAATTAGAAGTTATAAGGTAGACGAGGAACTGGTGTGCAATCCTTATCTCCATGCCCATTCAACACATTTTCCTTTAAAAAAAAAAAAAAAAAGTGAAGCAATACATTGAGAAATAATTGTGTAGTGATAGAAAAAGCCCCAGAGATTTTGTTCATTGCCTTCTTACAGTACAGTAATATTTTAGTCAAATGTTTGATTCTCACTGAATAATTGGAGCAAAGCTAAATTTCTAAAAGTTAATACAAGAGTTCAAAGGATAAACAAAAAAAAAAATTGAGATTATTCCAGTCAAAAAAATTCAGATTTATCCTACATGGGCTAGTGAACACTTTATTTATTTATTTATTTTTTTTTTTTTTTTGACAGGCAGAGTGGACAGTAAGAGAGAGAGACAGAGGGAAAGGACTTCCTTTTCCATTGGTTCACCCACCAATGGCCGCTGTAGCCAGCGCGCTGCAGCTGGCACACGGCACTGATCCGAAGCCAGGAGCCAGGTGCTTCTCCTGGTCTCCCATGGGGTGCAGGGCCCAAGCACTTGGGCCATCCTCCACTGCACTCCCAGGCCACAGCAGAGAGCTGGACTGGAAGAGGAGCAACCGGGACAGAATCCGGCGCTCCGACCGGGACTAGAACCCGGGGTGCCGGTGCCGCAGGCAGAGGATTAGCCTATTGAGCCACAGCGCCGGCCTAAATTACACACTAGATTTTAAAGACAGTTAAAAAAATAGAGAATACCTCAAGAAGTTTTTTGGTTTTAAGATTTTTTTTTTTTATTTGACAGGGTAGAGTTAAGTTATAGACAGTGAGAGAGAGACAGAGAGAAAGGTCTTCCTTCCATTGGTTCATTCCCCAAATGGCCTCAACGGCCAGAGCTAAGCCAATCCAAAGCCAGGAGCCAGATGCCTCCTCCTGGTCTCTCATGCAGGTGCAGGGGCCCAAGTACTTGGGCCATCCTCCACTGCCTTCCCGGGCCACAGCAGAGAGCTGGGCTGGAAGAGGAGCAACCGGGACTAGAACCCGGCACCCATATGGGATGCCGGCGCCATAGGCAGAGTTAGATTAACCTAGTGCACCACAGCGCCAGCCCCCTCAAGAACTCTTTAATATTGATTACATGTATGCTAAAATGGTAATGTTTTATATATACTGGGTTAAATAATTAAAATTAATTTCTACCTTTCAATGAGGATTTTTAATAAAATTAGATGAAAAGTTTAATTCTTTTAAAATGCATATGCAGCTAGTATGGGCCCTGTGCTGTAGTGGGTTAAGTCACTGCTTAACCCACATCAACTGCATCTCACTATGGGAGAGCCTGGTTTGGGTCTGGCTGACTTTGTGCTTCTAATCCAACTTCCTGTTAATGAACCTGGGAGGCATCAGATAACTTGGAATTTTGGTTCCTTCCATGCATATGGGGGATCCAGATGGAGCTTCTGGTTCCTGGCTTTAGCCTGGCAAAACCTTAACTGCTGCAGGTATCTGGGGTATGAACCAGTGGATGGAAGACAATTGTGTCTTTATCTTCCTCTTTCTGTTGCTCTGCCTTTTAAATAAATAAACAAATCTCTTTTTTAAAGAATTATTTTTTTATATGATCCAGCATTCCAATATTCTAATATGGGATTTGGGCACCATAAGTGGCACCTTAATACACTATGCCATAATGCTGGCCCTCTTTTTTTTAAATCACACATTCCATATTGGTGCCAGTTTGAGTCCCAGTTGTTCTACCTGTGAACCAGTTCCCTGCTAATAAGCATGGAATAGCAGGGGAGGAAGGCCCAAGTGCTTGAGCCCTTGCATCCACATGGGAGACCCGGAGGAAGCTCCTGGCTTCAGTCTGGCCTTGTTCTGGCCGATAGGATCATAGGGGAATGAACCAGCAGATGGAAGATTTGTCTCTCCCTCTCTCTATAACTCTGCCTTTCAAATAAAATAAATAAATCCTTTAAAAAAAAAAAAAAAGGGCAGTGGGGGAGAAGAAGTAAACAAAAAATTATGTGAACATGCATAAAATAAAGATCTCAAAGAAAATATATCAAACTGTGATAAGTAATATCCTCTTGGAAGGAGATGAGTTTGTTGGTTTTTTTGTTTGTTTTTGTTTTAAGATTTATTTTATTTGAAAGGCACAGTTACAGACAGACAGAGGGAGAGAAAGACAGCAAGGTCTTCCATCTGCTGGTTCACTCCCCAGATGGACACAATGGCCAGGATGGAGCCAAGCTGAAGTCAGGAGCCATGAGCTTCCTCTGGGTCTCCTGCACGGTTGTAGGGGCCCAAGCACTTGGGCCCTCCTCCGCTGCTTTCCCAGGCACATTAGCAGGGACCTGGATTGGAAGTAGAGCAGCCAGGACTGGAATAGGCCTTCATATGGGATGCAGCCGCTGAAGGCAGTAGCTTAACCTGCTGCGCCACAATGCTTGGCCCAGAGATAAGCTATAAGTAAACTGTTTCTTAACTGTATTCCTTCAAACTAAGCTCACAGAATTTTTATAATTGCTTAGAAAAATTTTTAAAACTAGTAACAAGATTCACCTAAGGATTCATAACAAAAATCTGTAAGAACATTCTTCTTACAGTGATGAAAAGCCACAAATGACCTATACTTAATAGAGAATGGCAAAATATATCAACAGAGAGATACATTCCTACATATATGATGAAATACTATCTAGAAATTTTTAAAAAGTAAAGCAGACCCAACTGCTCCACTTTCTATCCAGCTCCCTGCTAATGTGCCTGAGAAAGCAGAAGATGGCCCAAGTCATTGGGCCACTGCACCCATGAGGGAGACCCAGAGGAAGCTTCTAGCTCCTGGCTTCAGACCAGCCCAATTCCAGCCATTGCAGCCATTTATAGAGTAAACCAGCAGATGGTTGATTTCTTTCTGTCTCTCTCTCTTTCTACAACTCTGAATTTCAAATAAAATAAACCTTTTAAAAATATAATAAAAAATTGAAAAATAAAAAAGAATAGCATGGAGTATTGTAAAAAAAAAAAAAAAAAATACAGAGTCAGCACTACAGTGAAGATTAAGCCTCCATCTGCAGTGCCAGCATCCCATATGGGCACCAGTTCAAGAACTCGGCTGCTCCACTTCCAATCCTGTTTCCTGTTAGTGTGCCTGGGAGAGCAGCAAAAGATGGCCCAAGTACATGGGCCCCCTGCACCCATGTGGGAGACCCAGAAGCCACCTCCTGGCTTCTGGCTTCAGCCTGGCCCAGCCCTGGCCATTACAGCCATTTGGGGACTGAACTAGGAGATGGAAGATTTCAATCTGTCCTCTCTCTGCACAAATAAATAAGTAAATAAAATCTTAAAAAAAATACATGCACATGTACCTATTCATAGAAAAGCTGGAAATAATAGTGGTTCTCATATATCTGTGCTTCAGCAGTCTAAAATATATCTATTTTTCTGCATTTTCTAATTTTACTACAATGAATACAATGAACTTGTATGATTCTTTTTTGTTAATAAAAAGACAAACACTAAAGTTTAAGTTCCAATTCAAATTTCAGTAAATTAAAGTTGCAAAATTTAGTTACAATCAAAATAAATAAAGAACAGATGTGTAATTGAATTTCCTACCTCACTTCTGGTATCAGGAAGTGACTCCTGTGGACGGAGACAAGTATGTGCCACCTTGATGACATGTTCCAATTTTTTTGGCTGTTCTTCTACTTTAGCTGCCAGAAACAAGGCTGCTGGAGCCACAGACTGCATAAAATGAGAAAAGAAATTATAATCATTATTTATTTATTTCTAGATCAAAGTACAACAAAAGAGGAGCTAAGTCTAAAATCAAGTTCTTTGCTTGGGTCATTGTCTTCCTCCTACTTATAAGATCTTCAACTCTCCTATGGATTAATCCATATCCACCTGCAAACACCAATCCTCCAACAAACTTCTAATAAAAGTTATGCATGGGAGAAGCTACTGATAGAAGCAGACTATATATATATATATATATTTTTTTTTTTTTTTTTCTTTTTGACAGGCAAAGCAGAGTGGACAGTGAAAGAGAGAGAGACAGAGAGAAAGGTCTTCCTTTGCCGTTGGTTCACCCTCCAATGGCTGCTGCAGCTGGTGCGAGACCGGCGCACCGCGCTGATCCAAAGGCAGGAGCCAGGTGCTTCTCCTGGTCTCCCGTGCAGGTGCAGGGCCCAAGCACTTGGGCCATCCTCTACTGCCTTCCCGGGCCACAGCAGAGAGCTGACCTGGAAGAGGGGCAACCGGGACAGAATCCGGCGCCCCAACCAGGACTAGAACCCAGGGTGCTGGCGCCACAGGTGGAGGATTAGCCTATTGAGCCGCGGCGCCAGCCAGAAGATTGTATTCTACTTAAAGTAAGTTTCCTGGGGCCAGTGTTGTTGTGTAGCAGGTAAAGATGCTGCCTGAGATGCTGGCATTCCAAATGGGAGCCGGTTCATGTCCCGGCTACTCCACTTCTAACCCAGCTCCCTCCTAATGGCCTGGGAAAATCAGCACAAGACGGCCCAAGTCTTTAGGTCCTTGCCACCAACATGTGAGACACAGACGCAGCTCCTGGCTCTGGCCTGGCCCAGCGCTGGCTATTGCAGACATCTGGGGAGTGAATCAGTGGATGGATTATCTCTCTCTCTCTTTCTCTCTCCCTAACTCTTTCAAATCAGTAACTAAATCATTTTTTTAAATCTTTAAAAAATTAGTTTCCTTATAAATTTGCATCAAATCACTATATTTTTTAAAGAAATAAATTGAAATGTCCAGAATAGGTAAATCCAGAGATTAAGTTAGTGGGTGCGGAAAGAGAGCAAATAGGAGTGAATGTTAAAGGTAAGGTGTTTCTACAGTAATATCAATCTCTTGGGATTAAGACAGTGATGATGGCCGCACAATTTTATAAATGTACTAAAATCAATGAACTGTATACATAAAACAATGAATTTTCCTATATGCAAATCATCCCAGTTATTTTTATAAGTATACATAAAATATTTTTTAAAAGAATACCAGGCATAGTGTTAAACTCACAAGATGATTTATAGAAGGCATGTGGAGGAAAAATTTCAAGCCAATTCAGACCTAAATTACATTAGAACAACATAACATAGATATGGCCTGATGATCTAGAAAAATCTCAGGAAACAGAACTTTTCTTGAATCTCAAGAAAACGTCAATGAATCAAAGATAGCAATGGGGGGCCAAGGTATGGCGCAGAAGGTTAAGCCTCCGCCTGCAGTGCTGGCATTCCACATGGATGCTGGTTCAAGTCTCTACTGCTCTACTTCTATTAAAAAAAAAAAAAAAAAGATTTATTTATTTGAAAGTCAGAGTTACACAGAGAGAAGGAATGGCAGAGAGAGCGAGGTCTTCCAACCGCTGGTTCACTCCCCAATTGGCCACAATGACTGGAGCCACAAGGAACCAAAGCCAGTAGCCAGGAGCTTCCTCCGGGTCTTCCCATGGCCTGGGAAAGCAGTAGAAGATGGCCCAAATGCTTGGCCCCTGCACCCACGTGGGAGACCTGGAAGAAGCTCCTGACTCCTGGCTTTGGCCTGGCCCAGCACCAGCTGTTTAGGCCATTTGGCAAGTGAACCAGCAGACAGAGGACCTCTCTCTCTGTCTCTCCCTCTCTCTTCTGTAACTCTGCCTCCCCAGTGAGTAAAAAAAAAAAAAAAAATGACAGCAAGAGCTAGATCCTAAGAGCCAAAGGAATGGAATAATTTAATATCTATTTTATTTACTGACAAGAGCTGCCATTCTAATACTTATTTGTAGCTCCACTGTTACCTATGTTATTTTTCTATAATATATTTTCTTTTTTTTTTTTTTTTTAATTTTTTTTGATAGGCAGAGTTAGACAATGAGAGAGAGAGAGACAGAGAGAGAAAGGTCTTCCTTTTTCCGTTGGTTCACCCCCAAAGTGGCCATTACGGCCAGCACGTTGCGGCCGGCGCGCTGCGCTGATCCGAAGCCAGGAGCCAGGTGTTTCTTCCTGGTCTCCCATGCGGGTGCAGGGCCCAAGCACTTGGGACATCCTCCACTTCACTCCCGGGCCACAACAGAGAGCTGGACTAGAAGAGGAGCAACCAGGACAGAATCCAGTGCCCCAACTGGGACTAGAACCCAGGATGCCAGCGCCACAGGTGGAGGATTAGCCTACTGAGCCACGGCGCCAGCCTCTATAATATATTTTCTCCAGATAATAAATAACAATTCTTTTCCTTCACACTGGTTTCACCTGTATATGGAGCTGAGTGTGTATGCATTCCCCAGACTTCAGCATAAACAAAGCAGGGTGAGGGGGAAATGGCCTGAATAAAGGTTAGGGATTTGGGAACGAAGGCTATTTTTTTTTTGAACACTGCACTGAACAGTTAAATGAACTAGATAACAGCATATGGAGCACTAAAGATTTTAGAACAGATGTAGAATTTAATACCTGGTGCTGTGGTGTAGTGGGTAAAACCGCCACCTGCAGTGCCAGCATCCCATATGGGCACCAGTTCTCCACTTCCAATCCAGCTCTATGCTATGGCCTGGGCAAGCAGTAGAAGATGACCCAAGTGCTTGGTCCCCTGCACCCATGCAGGAGACCAAGAAGAAGCTCCTGGCTTTGCAGCAATTTGGGGAGTGAACCAGTGGATGGAAGACCTTTCTTTGTCTCTCCCTCTCTTTTGTCTGTAACTCTACCTCTCAAATACACAAATAAAATTTTTAAAAATAAAACTTTTTTTTTTTTTTTACAGGTAGAGTGGACAGTGAGAGAGAGAGACAGAGAGAAAGGTCTTCCTTTGCCGTTGGTTCACCCTCCAATGGCCGCCGCGGCCAGCGCGCTGCGGCCGGCGCACCGCGCTGATCCGATGGCAGGAGCCAGGAGCCAGGTGCTTTTCCTGGTCTCCCATGGGGTGCAGGGCCCAAGCACCTGGGCCATCCTCCACTGCACTCCCTGGCCACAGCAGAGGGCTGGCCTGGAAGAGGGGCAACCGGGACAGAATCCGGCGCCCCAACCGGGACTAGAACCCGGTGTGCCGGCGCCGCTAGGCGGAGGATTAGCCTATTGAGCCGCGGCGCCGGCCAAAAATAAAACTTTTTAAAAATAAAATAAAGAAGCACTTGGGGGACTTTCAAACCTACTCCCTCCAGAGTCTGATTTATTTCAAAAAACAAAAAAATTCAGGCCCTGTGTTTTGGAATATAAAAAAATACAATATGGGGGCCAGTGCTCTGGTGTAGCGGGAAAAGTCCCGCCTGCAGTGCCAGCATCCCATGAGCGCCGGCTCAGTCCTGGCTGCTCCACTTCCAATCCAGCTCTCCTCTATGGCCTGGAAAAGCAACAGCAGATGGCCCAAGTGCTTGGGCCCCTGCAACCACATGGGAAACCTGGGAAAAGCTCCTGGCTCCTGATCAGCTCAGCTCTGGCCTTTGTGGCCATTTGAGGAGTAAACCAGCAGACAGAAGACCTCTCTCTCTCTGCCTTTCAAATAAACAATCTTTTTTCAAAAAAAAAAAAAAAAAATACAATATGAACACATACACACATCCCAATAGTAGTATAGCATTATTTATATTTCCCCCAATTCAATTAATGAGGTTAAATTTCTTCTCAAACAAGACTAAATGCAACTCATAATATAAATGAAAAAAAAAATGTGAGGGGCATGTGTTTGGCACAGCAGGTAAGCGATGGTTGGGACACTCATATCCCATACCCAAGAAAGGGTTAGTCCATGTTCTGCTTCCAATTCCAACTTCAAGCTAATGCACTCCTTGAGAGGCAGCAGGTGATGGTTTTTCCAGCCACATGGGAGACCAGACTGAGTCCCATGCTCCTGGCTTCAACCTGGTCCAGGCCCTGGCTACTGCACACATTTGGGGAGTAAACCAGCAGATGGGAGATTTCTTTCTCTGCTTTACAAATAAATAAATTTTAAATTAGTTATCTGTTTATTTGAAAGTCAGAATTAGAGAGAGAGAAATCTTCCTCTGCTGGTTCAGTTGAAGGCTCTTCCAGTTCTTCTGGGTCTCCTACATGGGCAGGAGGGGCCCAAGCACTTGAACAATCTTTTGCTGCTTTCAGGCCATTAGCAGGGAGCTGGATTGGAAGTGGAGCAGTTGGGACTCGAACTGGTGCCCATATGGGTTGCTGGCACTGCATACCATGGCTTACTCCACTATGGGGAGAGACAGAGAAAAAGGTCTTCCATCCACTGGTTCACTCTCCAAATGGCTGCAACAACCAGAACTGCTGGACCAATCCGAAACTAGAAGCCAAGAGCTTCTGCTGGGTCTCCCATGTGGGTACAAGGGCCCAAGCTTTTAGGCCATCCTCCACTGCTTTCCCAGGCCATAAGCAGAGTTGGATCAGAAGTGGAGCAGCTGGACACGAACCAGCACCCATACGGGATGCTGTCAAAGCAGATGGAGGCTCAGCCTACTATGCCACAGCACCAGCCCCGAAATTTTTTTTTTTACGAAAGAAACCAATGATTTAACCATGTCCACTAAAAAAATAAGATATATTTCAATGAAAAGGCAAGTACTCTACCTTCCAGGGTATTAGAAATACACTGTCTTTTTGTGTAAGTGGTGGTTACATTCACAAATATAAAAATTAAGAAATGATTTACATGCTTCTCATTTTTGTGCTTTACTGTTATACCTCAACAAAAACATTTCCAAAAAATGAAAGAAAGGCACGAGCTCTGGACTCCAAAACACTATAAACAAAGAG